AGGCATGTCAGATTTGATGAAGAAGTTTTCCCCTTTGCTACTAAAATTTCTTTACAGGATTTATCTACTCCGTTTTCTGGACCTTGGGCGGAATCTGTTATCAGTCACAGCACACTTATTCCTGCCGTGTCCAATGATGAGCTGCCAGAACCGCCGCTACCTGCTTCATTCGAACCAGCTGTGGATCCCGGACAGGCTGCCTCGTCGGGTGATCATGTGGAGCCTGTTGCTCGCCGGCGAGGCCGTCCACGTGGGCGGTCCATCAGGCCCAATGTTCGTACTCACTCTATGGCCACTCGCAGCAACGCAGATGCTCCTCTTTTTGCTCTAGCAGCTCAAGTGCATCCCACGGAACCCACATGTTACTCTCAAGCTGTCAAATATCCTGAGTGGCGTGAAGCCATGGACCAAGAATTCAATGCTCTCCTGCATAACCACACATGGTCTCTAGTTCCACCCACTGCAGGTATGAATATTATTGGCTGTAAATGGGTGTTTCGTACAAAGAGAAAGGCTGATGGTGCTATTGAAAGGCATAAAGCCAGGCTGGTTGCGAAAGGTTTTAATCAGGTTCCAGGTCAGGACTTCTTCGACACTTTTAGTCCAGTGGTAAAGCCTACGACTGTAAGACTCCTTCTATCTCTAGCTTTATCATCTGGGTGGTCTATCAAACAGCTAGATGTTCATAATGCTTTTCTGAATGGTAATCTGGCTGAAACAGTTTATATGAAGCAACCCCCTGGTTATATTGATGCTAACTTCCCGAATCATGTTTGTTTGTTAAAAAGATCTCTGTATGGGTTAAAACAAGCTCCCAGAGCTTGGTTTAATCGACTACATACGTTCTTACTATCGGTTGGCTTTCAAGCATCCAAGACAGATGTCTCTCTGTTTTATTACTCTAAAGACTCTGCTTTGGTTTATTTATTAGTGTACGTGGATGACATTCTTGTAATGGGAAGTGATCAGGGTATTATGTCTCAGCTCTTGTCCAAACTATCTGCTACATTCAAAATCAGAGATCTTAGTGAACCAAATTTTTTTCTGGGTATTGAAACAGTTAAGAGTGACAATAGGATTATTTTATCTCAACAACGGTATATGAATGATATTTTAAAACGGGCTGGAATGTCTGAATGCAAACCCCTTTCTACACCTATCTCTGTCTCGAAAACTGTCCCCTTCAATTCAGATCTATATGATGATCCCACACAGTACAGGAGTCTAGCTGGAGCACTGCAATATCTCACTGTCACACGACCTGACCTATCCTTTGCAGTTAATCAGTTATGCCAGCATATGCATGCTCCCACCATATCACACTGGGAGCAGCTCAAACGGGTACTCAGGTATGTTAAGGGAACAGTTGATCATGGTTTACGCATACGACGGTGCTCATCTAGAGACATTCATGCTTTCTCTGATTCTGATTGGGCTGGTTGTCCTGACGATCGAAAATCCACGAGTGGTTTTGCTGTTTTCTTGGGGAGTAATCTTATATCATGGGTTTGCAAGAAACAGAGAACAGTTGCCAGGTCATCCACTGAGGCTGAATACAAAGCTCTTGCAAATGTTTGTGCTGAGGTTCTATGGATTATGTCATTATTGCGTGAGATACAGATTCCGGGTATTTCCATTCCAAAATTATGGTGTGATAATCTAGGAGCTACATATATGAGTGCCAATCCAATCTTTCATGCCCGCACCAAGCATGTGGAGATTGATTATCATTTTGTTCGTGATCGAGTAGCTTCGGGCGATATCCAAGTCAACTTCATATCCACAAAGGATCAACTTGCTGATATCTTCACCAAAGCTCTGCCTGGACCTAGATTTTCTTCCTTAAGGGACAAGCTACAGGTTACTAGTATACACTGTGCTTGAGGGGGAGTATTAGGACTCTATGTATATGAGTCTGTTTAGAACTTCTTATTCTTGTCACACTGTGACTCTCTACTTCTTATCATTGTCACACTATGACTCTCTATTCTATATATTCACATCATCTCATCTCATTGTAATTAAGTTCAGAAAATATAATACAATCAGTTCTCATCGTGAACACATACCTAAATCAATTTTGAAAAATGAATAAATATATAACATATGTATGTATCTTGTGTTGTGATTTGTTGTATTTTATGTTATGAAACTCTGTACCTTAATTATAAGTATGAATTATGTACCAATCTAGGGTCCATAATGGTATGTGGACTTTGGTCTATGATATAAATTAAGCTCTCGGCTCGTGGACTTTTCTATTTTTGGTAAGATTCTATGATCATGTTTTTCCGTTCTTTTCTTGGGTGGTCATGAAAGCCGTGTCGGGTTTCGCCAGACGCTGCAGCGGGGGCTGAGTGCAAATTATGCTGTGCAACCGTGTGCACCATACATGGTGCACACGGTTGCAAAAACGACATCGTTTTGACTAAAAACGCGCGTCCCACTTAAAAAAAATTCATGTTCGATTCCCGACAATAACATTTTTTTTTTTTTGCATAATTTGAATTATATATTCACAAATTTATAACTATATATCCACAGTGAATGAATAACAAAAAATCCAGAATGAATGAACTAAATATCCACAATGAATGAACTAAACATCCACAATGAATGAACTAAATATCCATAAATTTATAACTATATATTCACAAATTCGTAACTATATATCTACAAATTCATAACTATATATCCACACTAATGCTGTTGAGGAAAATTAAAACTGATTTTTTTTTTTTTAAATGAAACACGCATTTTTAGTCAAAAGACGTCTGTTTGTAACCGTGGGTGCACACAGTTACATAGCATAACTATTGGGGGCTGAGGACGGCGAGGGAACAACTCACCACTCCAACAAGAAAGTGAAGATATTAAAGCGTTCCTTTGCTGAGACAGCCGCAACGCCACTGTGCCTTGGGGATCTGCCCAAAGATCTCTTCTCAGAGCTTGTCAGACCTGGATCGGAGAAACACCCTTATCATTAAGTATCTAGAAAAAATTATTGCTTTTCCCTTGTTTAGATAGAAAATAATGAAAATTTGCAATTTGAAGGGAAGAATGGATGATATAGGTGTGGGGTACTTCGTAGCAAGATTCGAACTTGCTTCAGACTATATGCATGTCCTCATTGATGGACCTTAGAAGCTTTTCGACAATTATGTCGTTGCACAACGCTGGGACCCATACTTCAACCCGTTAGCAACAAAGCTCAATAAGATAGTAGTGTAGGTGTGTCTATCAGGGCTCCCTATTGAATATTTTAGAGAAACTATTGTGAATCTCATTCTAGAAAATGTGGGTACCCCATTGAAACTAGATAGAACCACGACAAGAGTTACGTTGAACATGGGCGATTTGCACAGGTCGCTGTTGAAATCGACCTTTCCAAACCGTTGGTTGGTAAGGTTTGGATTCAGAGTAGGTTGCAACACGTTGAGTTCGAAGGAATCCACGTCATATATATGCTTTGCATGTGTTGAGGTTGGCCATCGCATGAATCATTATCCTAAGGAGAACAGTAATGCCAAGCCTGACATGCCAAACATGCATGGAAGAAGATAATGGCGGGGGAGGGTCAAAGACTGAGATGTGAAGGAATTACAATTTGTTGATAAAAATGAGAAACTTTGAAAAGTAAACAAGATTAGGAAAAGAGCATTTCGGACATATGCATTTGAGTTTTTTTTTTTTTTTTTTTTTTTTTTCAAAAATTAACCACAAATGTAAGTGAGATCGACTTGCGCAGTTTTCACTTGGACGCTCATCAGCGAGGTGAAAGAACACAAAATTCCGATGAAGCCAAGCAAAATGAACAAACTCATATCTTCGATCGACTATGCTCGTGTACACGATGCAGGCGCTAGCTCTTCCAATCAGGGACGACATCAACAATGTCTACAGAGAGTTCCTTTGGGGGGGATATAATGATGATAAGAGGAAAGTTTACCTGGTCAACTGAGGAAGTCTGCTCATAGCGGGTGGATTATGTCTTAGAAAAGCTAGGGACTTTTAAGTTGCGATTCAGCACATTAAAATCGATGATAAACTTACACTGAATTATTAGTAAAAGACTAAGGCCCTGTTTGGATAGACCAATTTTTTGGCTTATTTGACAACTATTAATTGTTTGATTTAATTAAAATATCAATATAAATGTTTGGCTAATTGGCTTTTTGCAACTCCAAAAGGCTAAAATTGAAAAAGCTACCCAAGCAACTTTTTCAATTAGCTTTTTGAGAAAAGAAATTATACCAAACAGCTAACAACTAATTTACCAAACACTTTTTTACAATCAGCTAATGTTATCAACTATTTATACCCTCTAATTAACACAATCAGCAAACAACTAACAGCTATCAGCTAACAGCCATTTTACCAAACATGGCCTAAGGCCCTATTTGATAAATGATAGGGTTAGCTGATTGGGTTAGAGAGCATGACTAGTTGATAACAGATTTTGAAAATGTGTTTGGTAAATTAGCTGTTAGTTGATAGTTGTTTGGTATAATTTCTTTTCTTAAAAGCTAATTTAAAAAGTTTTTTTTGAACAATTTTTTGAATTTTAACATTTTAGAGTTACAGAAAGTTAATTAATCAAACACTTATATTAATTTTTTAACCAAATCAAACATCTAATATTGATTAAATAAGTTAAAATTAATTAATAAGCTAACTATTTACCAAATCAAAATGTAAATAGTTATCATTTTATTAAATTAAATAAGAAAATATGTGCTTTCGAGCTGCCGAATCCTCATCAAAATGTTTATTTTTCGTATAGCAGAAATGAGAGTGCATGATAATTGTTTAAGCACAGGAGTACATGACATACTTAAGCCGCGGACATAGTACACTGTATAAAATGTGTGAAGAAATCTCAAGGGGATAAAAGAGCGGCGCAAAACTAGTGGCGTGGCGTGGCGTCTGGTAGCCGCATCCCGTTTTCCCCTAATCCTACATACTAACCACTCACTACTCACTTACTCAGTTGTATATATAAAAACTACTTTGATATTATATTCCTTCCTACCAAAGACGAGAGTTGAGTTGATACAAACTTCCGCGACAAAGGAATGGATTCGGACTTGGGAATAGCGAGAGAGCTATCCCATCTCCAAAAGCTTCGATCTCTGTACCAACCCGAGCTACCTCCATGCCTTCAAGTATCGTCTCTCTCTCTTAAGCTTTCTGGCGTTACTGTGTTTACTTATAATAATCCGATATGATAGATATTATTATTCTTGCGTCTTCGTCCCTAAAGCATCCATTTATTCAATTCGCTTTGCTTCACTCTTCAGCTGAAGCTTGTGATCATTCCAACACGATACGCTTTATTTCCTGATATCTTTCTACTTTTGTATTTTTTTAATCTGTGCAGTTAACAGTGGTGCCTGAAATTAGACCTTATTTTTCATGAAATTCACTCTTGTTGCTATTTTAACATTCCCCGTTTGATCATTGACTCTTCTCGATCTATTGTTATTTCAACAGGGCACTACTGTTCGTGTGGAGTTCGGCGATGCAACTACTTCAGCTGATCCCTCATGTGCCCATATAATAAGTCGGTCCTTTCCTCGCACTTATGGTCAGCCTTTAGCTCATTTTCTCAGGGCAACTGCCAACGTCCAAGATGCTCACATAATTACCGATCATCCATCAATTAGGTATTTATTTTATTATATCATATCATATCATATTATGCAATCATGCTGTCTTAGTTTACATTCAAAGTCGGTATCACACGTTGCATCTCAAATTCTCAATAACAGTGTTGCAATATCTTGCCTGGTTCCTTTATAGTCACATGCTGCTAACTTCTATTACATATTTTTTCCCTTCAGGGTGGGGATTGTTTTCTGTGGTAGACAATCTCCCGGAGGACATAATGTCATATGGGGACTTCTTGACGCTCTCAACATTCATAATCCTGATAGCATTTTACTTGGATTTTTGGGTAAGTAGTGGTATTTGCTCGAGTTTCCCCCAACTGCTTTTTTATCTATTTCAATTTGTTCAGTTTAATTGAGATGATTAATTTTTCTGCTCAATTTCTTGATGATCATCTTCCATTGAAATTATGATTTGGTTCTCTCGGAGATTGCATTTACCACTCCTGTTGGAAACCGGTGTTGTTGAACTCATTACATATGTCTTCAGGTGGTTCTGAAGGTTTATTTGCACAGAAAACTCTCCAAATTACAGATGATGTTCTTGCAACATATAAAAACCAAGGTAAGTTGGCTAAGTTTTCAGAAAGTGATAATTTTAATTAGATTGTGTTATGTTTTGACTTACACCACTGTGGAATATTATCTAATCAAGGTGGTTATGATATGCTGGGAAGAACTAAAGATCAAATTAGAACAACTGAGCAAGTTAATGCGGCATTGGCTGCGTGCAAAGCTTTGAAGTTGGATGGCCTCATAATTGTTGGGGGTACTAATACTACTTATTCTCATGGTCGTTATGGAAATTATATTTTAAAAAAATGTTTCCATTTCTCTGATATACCCATTTTTTTTTGGTAGGAGTAACATCAAACAGTGATGCAGCTTATCTGGCAGAAACTTTTGCTCAAGCTAAATGTCCAACAAAAGTATGCATTGCTGGGGGGAACTCTGAGAAATTAACTTGGCAGCTTTAATATGTTGTTTTGCAAATAGATTATAAACCTCTTTTCTTATCTTGCCTCATTATACTCAATATCTCATCTTATTTCTTCTTTCTTTTTCCAGAACCAAGTTTCATCTGGCTTATCTTCTTGATGTGTGAATGTAATAAGAATTTATATCCATTTTCTACAGGTTGTTGGTGTTCCTGTCACATTAAATGGAGATTTAAAGAACCAGTTTGTTGAAACAAATGTTGGTTTTGACACAATATGTAAGGTATGTATTAACCACTAGTTTTTTCAATTCAAGAGAATTTATTTTGGAGCTAATTTTCACAGAGATGATGATACCTATCTGAATCTACTTTTGAAAACCTTATTTCCTTGAAAACATGTTGCATTATGATTTTTTTGAGGGGTTTATTTTTCCCTCTTTTGGTTTCATTTTCTGACTGCTTAATATGATATGTTGTGTTGACATTCATAGATGCATTTCCTGTCAGTTTACTTGAACTTTAAGTGCTATTAAGTGTCTGCCTTTTCTTTTTTGGGTGGGTGGACATATGGTGCTGCCCTTGAGTTCATATTGAGTAGAAATAGTTATACCTTGCAGGTGGGTTATGCCTTTTTATTTTTTATGCCCTCTGTTTTAAAACTGAAAAAAAAAATAAAAATTGGCAAAGCTTTTGTTTCCTCTTTGTTGTCCTTTAGAGCATTTTGAAATAAATAACTTGTGGAGAGAAACTAAATGAACTCTGTTTTCAATTGATCTTTTCAGGTTAATTCCCAGCTCATCAGCAATGTCTGCACTGATGCACTCTCAGCAGAGAAGGTATGACTGCATTTATTTTACATGCTCAAGTCTAGTCTTAATGTTTTTTTTTTTTTTTGGAAGCTGTATAACTATGCTTTTGAGACAGTCTTCTTGAGATTATTATAGAGTATATGTTTCTCAGAAATATGAGTATATAGAGTATATGTTTCTTATATTTACTTATTTCTTGTCATACTGTTTCTCATCTGCAGTATTACTATTTCATCAGACTGATGGGCCGAAAGACATCACATGTTGCCTTGGAATGCACCTTGCAGTCTCACCCAAATATGGTTCTGAGTTTCACATATTTCTGAAGCTTGGATTAAACAGCTTTAGCATATGCTGCTTTTTCAAGTTTTCTCTCTAAAAAATTCCTAAATGTTTTGACAGGTTATTCTTGCTGAGGAAGTAGCTGCGTCAAAACTTACACTTTTTGACATCACGAAACAAGTTTGCGATGCAGTGCAAGCCAGGGCTGAACAGGGTATGGACTTCTGAATTTTGTTTAATCTGTCTTTATGATGATTATTAGTTATATACTGTCTGACTTTGCTTTGGGGTCCAGACAAGTACCATGGTGTTATCCTGTTGCCTGAGGGGCTTATAGAAAGCATTCCTGAAATATATGCTCTATTAAAGGTAGATTTGAAATTGAACCTTCTTGATTAGTTGTTGACTGCCATTTTAACCTTAGTTAGCCACAAGCATATTTAATAATATATTCTATGCTCCAGGAAATTCATGTTTTGCTCAGGGAAGGTGTTTCTGCTAATAACATTTCCTCCCAACTGTCACCATGGGCATCTGCCCTGTTTGAATTTCTGCCGCCCTTTATAAGAAGGGAGGTTAGTTTTATGCTTCTTAAATCAATTATAGTGATTTAGCTTATCACCTATTGTAGCTCTTAAGCTGAAAATATTTGCAATCTTGCAGCTTCTTCTGTATCCAGAATCAGATGACTCTGCCCAACTATCTCAGGTAATTAAAGTTTTCTAGTTCTTTTAAGATCTGTAAGATGAAACTTTGGAATATCTTGCATGTGAATATGTGGCGCAGTGGCAATGATTCTTTTGCTTCGTTTACAGATTGAGACAGAGAAACTTCTAGCTTTTCTTGTAGAAACAGAGATGAACAAGCGGCTGGTATGAAAACTCTCCTGCTACATTATGCAAAGTCCTACATAATACTTCTATTTCGTTTTGAAAGTTTAGGAGATTTGGTTATGAAGTGTGTGTGTGTGTGGGTTTTGGGGTGGAATTCCTTTTACTACAATGGCTCTTTCTACAAATGGGGATATTTTGATCATATCAAATTGGGTTAGGAAAAGAAGAAAAAAAGTTGCATGTGACAAAAATGCCTACATATTTTCTTTTTTAGCATTTAGCAAAAAGGCATTGAAGAAACTCCCGTATGTGTGTGTGCGTACAACATTTGTTTTAAAATAGTTTTGACGTTTGCTTCCGTCTGCATTCATTTATCTCTTTTTGAGGCATAATGAGGAATTTAAATCTGTTATATTTTCCATGAACACTTGAAATTGTACCAAATTCTTACATGCCAGGTTTATCGTTCCCATGACTTAAAATCATAGTCTTTAGTTTATGTAAATGTGTGCTAAAATTTTTACTTGTTCAAAGCTCACTGCGTACAAGTTCATCTGTGGAGCCCATTTTGGGTTGGTGTACTTAGCTTTACCTTTATTGAATGTGCTCCTAATGAGGATACTCTTGCTCTTAAATTTTACTCCGTATTATTTAGGTTAACATTCTCTTTTGTTCTTTAAGGTTACATCTTTTCTTTTTTGTTTTAATGTTTACATTTGATTGGAATTTAAAACAAATTTATATACATTTCAGTTTACATGGGTTAGAAGTATACACAATTTGATGTGCCTTGTTATTTTAATGGTTTCTGCAGAAAGAGGGAACTTACAAGGGAAAGAAATTCAATGCTATTTGTCATTTCTTTGGTTATCAAGCTCGTGGATCATTGCCATCAAAATTTGATTGTGACTATGCCTATGTGAGCTTTTCTCCATTAATTCAGTTCATTGCTCTTAGTATGCATTTATGAAATATTTGCACATAACAAAATATCTCCACTGTTCCTTCAGGTTCTTGGTCATGTCTGTTACCATGTATTGGCTGCAGGGCTGAATGGTTACATGGCAACATTAACTAATCTAAAGAATCCTGTGAACAAGTGGCGTTGCGGTGCTGCTCCTATAAGTGTAAGTTTGTTGCAAGATTTTGGGGGCAAATCAGGACATTTTGGTTTATTGATTTCTCTCATATTTGAACTTACAGTGTATAAGAAGGTGTTTTTGAGTTTTGGAATGCAGGCTATGATGACTGTGAGGCGTTTTGGTCATGGTCCTGGTGCTGAATCAATTGGGAAACCTGCTCTTCATCCTGCAGCTGTGGATTTGAAAGGCAAAGCATATGAGTATGTTATTTCCTTTTTGAGTTTACTTCAATTCTTCCACTGGCCTATTAGCATCCCCATGGGTTGCTAATATTTATTTATCGCTTGTTACAATTGCAAGATATATGGAACTGAAATTAGAACATTATATTGTGGTTGAGAATTGAGAATTGGATGGCATGCAGGGTGCTGAGACAGAATGCTGGAAAATTCTTGATGGATGACGTGTATAGAAATCCAGGACCTCTTCAGTTTGATGGTCCAGGTGCAGATACAAAGGCTGTAAGCCTTTGTGTGGAGGACCAGGATTACATGGGTCGTATCAAACAATTGCAAGAATATCTTGAGAAGGTGAAGCTAGGAAGCTAAGGGCTTTACTTACATGGTTGTTAATATTATATCATTCAGGAAATATAAAAATATATTTGAGGGAGGGAGAAGTTGTTAATTTACTTCAATTCTGTTTCTGTTGCTACAAAACTTCATCTTCTTCGTCTTATATACTCTTTTCCTTTAATATATTTTATTTCCAGGTGCGTACAATCGTAAAACCAGGGTGCTCGCAAGATGTGCTGAAAGCTGCTTTAAGTGCCATGTCCTCTGTAACCGAGATTCTATCTGTCCTGTCTAGCAGTAGGAATGCACCCTTCTGATTTCTGCATGAGAGAGAGAGAATTATCATTATCATTATCATTCTCATTCTCATGCATGTACAGAGTTCCTCCTGGCACCATCACTATTAAATTAGATTGTGATTTTAATACTGTTTCTACTTTTGGCACCGGATCAGAAGTTGATAGATATATAGGCCCAGTTTGGTAAAATAGTTAGTCTATTCCTCAATTTTAACTTATTTTATCACTATTAGATGTTTGACTTGGTTAAATAATTCATATAAGTGTTTGATTAATTAGCTTTTTATAACAACTTAGGGGGTGTTTGGTTGGATGGAAAACATTTTCCATGGAAAATATTTTTTTAAAAGTGAAGGAAAATGTTGTTTTATGTTGTTTGGTTGGATGGAAAACATTTTCCATTGGAAAATGGATTCCTCAAACTTGAGGAAAATAAATTCTTTGTAAAGGGGTGGGATTTTGTTTTCCATATGAATTGGGAAGAAAAATAATATGAGTGTACCATTTTACCCTTATGAAAGTTTCTTAATTACCTAGACACTTATTTATTCAAACATCCTTTTAAGGGCATATTGGTCTTTATATTCATTATTTCTTATCTTTCTAAACCCAACCAAACAATGGAATTCATATTCTCAGTAATTTCTTTTCCACCAACCAAACAATTGAATCAATTTTCCTGAAATTTATTTTCCATGGAATTTCAATTCCATTTCCCTTCAAATCTTTTCCAGCGAACCAAACGGGCTGTTATTGTTTCAAAATGCTAAAATTCAAAAAACTGCTCAAAATAGCTTTTTCGATTAACTTTTTGAGAAAGTCATTTTTATATGTAATCAGCTAACAACTGAGAGCTAATTTACCAAACACTTTTTTATAATCAATTAATGTTATAACTAATTAAATCTACTAGTCCAATCAAATAACAGCCATTTACCAAACAACTTCATACTCTTTATTTTAGCTCTATCTTCCCAGCCATGAGCCACCCCTTCCCCCTCTAATGTAATAAAGTGGACTGGTTCTTGAGATGCATGTGGAGATTGTCTTTGCAATGCCTTCAAACTTGCTCATCCATTCAGTTAGAAAAACACTTCAAGGACTCTCAAAAATATATTTTCAATTTTTACTTCTATTTGTGTTCAAATTTGATTGAAGTTCAAATTTGATTGAAAAAAAGAAAAAGAAGAATGGATAAATATTATGTCTCATATTAAATTAAGCAATCAAGGCATGCCATGTCAGAGAATAGAAAATGAAAGTAAAAATTGGGAGTACAATACATCTAGAATTATTCATTCAGTTATTGCTTCTTAATATCCCACATCCAATAATATTTACGTAAATGGGGTTTGAACCCATAACCTCCTATTTTGGAAAGTCACTTCATATCACTTGACCACAAAATCATTAGCTTTTTCTTTACTTTCTTAATCGGGCTAATCTATATATATATATATATATATATATATATATATATATATATATATATATATAAGTAAAATCCTCCTAACAAATTTTCCCCCCAAAATTTTTGTAGTAAAGTTTATTTGGTAAGTAAATGTCAAATGGAAATTAAATAAATCTATTAATTGTTATATTACATAATTGGTAATATTATGTATAGTATTATATTCTATAATATAACTAGTATTTGCGCCCGTGCGATGCACGGAATAGATTTGTTGTAATATATTAAGAATATTTGGATCGATATATAATTATTTAAATTAGAACATCAAATATTATATAGTTCAATTGAATATACGAGTTGGATCATTTATGTGTTTTTATATTATCATTGTATGAATTTAAGCAAATAATTGCTCGAATTAATAGCTAATGTGTAGATGTATGCATGTAGTGTTATAACTTTGGAGATTTTTTTGCATCATTGTTTAGTATTTTTTTTTTTTTTATAAATTATACAAATGTGTTTGTTTTCTAGCAACTCAGTTATATGAATGAATTGTTATCTTAATTCATTTGTATGGAGGATATTTTTTTTGTCTATACATATAGCAATTTTGTCATTTAAAAAATATAATATCAACGATTTTATTTACACATTGTTGAAACCTCTTTGTAGACGACATTGGTAGTAGCAACACAATCTTGTCCATCATCGTCTAGAGCTAACACCTTCAATTGATCAGGATGGGTGACTCGGTGAAAATATATAATGGTATAATATTAGTCAATTAGCGATCCTTTTATATTTTAAATAAATTAGTAATATCATATTCATTTTCAGTCAATTATTCTTTTGTATTTTTAGTCCATTAGAATATTACATGGAGTGATATTTTTACCTAATTTGTGTTCCATTTTTAATTGAGAATGTATAATATTATTATTGAAATATTTCTGTTCCATTTGTAATTTACCTTTACTATTGTTTAAAATATGCATTTACTATTTATGATGTAGAATATTATTATTGAAATATTGGCGTTCAATTTTAGTTTCCCTTCCATTTTAATTAAAATGCAATGGTCTAACCATTTATTTTTTTCATATTAGTCAATTATGAATAATTTTTTATTTGCAGTCAATTATTAATATTCATTTCCTTTTAAATTTTCAATCCATTAGTAATATCATATTTATTTTCATCCAATTACTTCTCTTTTATTTTTAGTCAATTAATCAATTAGCGAACTAAAATATCAAATGCAATGATATTTTTATCAAATTTTCGTTTCATTTTTAATTGATGATTTAGAATATTATTATTGAAATATTTCCATTTCATTTTTAATTTTCGCTACATTTTTAATTTACCTTTACTATTGTTTTAAATATGTCTTTAGTATTGATGATGTAGAATATTATTATTGAAGTATTTCCTTTTTATTTTTAATTTACCTTTACTTGATAGTGTAGAATATTATTATTGAAATATTTTCATTCTATTGTTTAAAATTGTGTAAAATTTATTACATATTTATGATTTGATGTATTATACTGTGTAATATTATTGTGAAAAATTAAAATGTAATGATCTGACCATTTTTTTTTCTATTTTAGTCAATTATGAATCTTTTCTTATTTTCAAATAATTGTTAATATTCATTTCCTTTTTCAATTAATCTAATGTTTGTTACCAAGCAGCTTGTGCTTAGATGGTATGTAGTGACTTCTCTTATATGGGAAGTCATGAGATCGAGCTTTAGTGAAGGTGTTGGTTGAGAAAATATGTTTGAACAAATATTTATTTATTTACTTAATTTTCATTCCATTTTTAATTGATAATATAGAATATTATTGTGAAATATTTTTGTTCTTTTTTTTTTATCATTTTTTTTTAATTTACCTTTACTATTTACTATTGTTTGAGCGATAAATCAAGTAAATAGAAATTTGTTTTTAATTATATTATAGATTTTTTTTCTTTTTCTATTGTTTGGGTGTGAAAGTAAGGAAGAAGGATTTTCTTTTTAATAATGGTATAGATTGAGAATCTTTTTATATTTACCTATTTAACTTATTATTATTAGTATTAATAAGTGACTTTCGTTTCTTTTTCTATTTTTAGTGAATTAAGGATCCTTTTATATTTTTCTATTTTAATGTTAACTTTTAATTTTACTGATTATTATTAGTATTAATTATTCAGTGAATTCTATTTCATTTTCTATTTTTCATAAATTATGAATTTTTTTTTTCAATTTTTTTTGTAGGATTGTTTTTACTGTTATTTTTATTATGACCCCTTTTTTTTTTAAAAAAAAAATCTTTCATTTTCATTGAATTAAGAATCCTTTTTTATTTTCAATTTTACTGATTATTATTAGTATTAATCAGTAAATTTTGTTTATTTTTCCATTTTTAGTGAAGGATCTTTTTTTTTCTTCATATTTTACTGCTTATTTTCTGACTGATTATTATTACTATTTAATTAATCAGTGAATTTCATTTCCTTTTCTATTTCTCGTGAATTAAGAAAATTTTTTTATTATTCTAATTTTTGGTAGAATTTTCTTTTTTTTACTGTTATCCTTATTATGACCTTTTTTTTTCACACCCTTACGTTTCTTTTTTCCATTTTCATTGAATTAAGACTCTTTTTTTTTACCAATTATTATTAGTCATAATCAGTAAATTCCATTTATATTTTCATTTTTAGTGAATTAATGATCTTTTTTTTAATGATTATTGTTAGTTTTAATTAATTAGTGAATCCCGTTTCCTTTTCTATTTTTTGTGAATTAAGGATCTTTTTTTCTATTTTACTACTAACTTTTTTACTAATTATTATTAGTATCATTAATTGGTAATTTTTTTTTATTGTTTGGGCGGGTAAGTAAGAAATGGGGGTTTAGTTTTTAAGAATAATATAGAATTTTAGTGAGTTAAGGATCCTTTTTATAGAATTCTCTTTCAATATTTAAATACATTAGCATAGTAATTACACCAAAGAAGGAAAGAAAAATTATTAGAATAATAGTATTTTCACACGTTCGATGCACAGAATGGATTTGTTGTAATATATTAAGAATATTTGGATCAATATATAATTATTTAAATTAGAACATCAAATATTATATAGTGCAATTGAACATATGGTTTGGATTATCTGTGTTTTGATGTTATCATTGTTTAAATTTGAGCAAATAATTGCTCAAATTAATAGCTAATGTGTAGATGTACGCATGCGGTGCTGTAATTTTGGAGATTTTACTTATCATTGTTTAGTTTTTTTTTTTATTTTTTATAAATTAGTCAAATGTGCTCATTCTCAAGCAACTCAGTTATAGGAATGAATTACTATCTTAATTCATTTGTATGGAAGATATATATTTTTTTGTTTAGATATATAGCAAATTTGTCATTTAAAAAAATATCAACGATTGTATGTACACATTATTGAAACATCTTTCGACATTGGTAGTAGCAACACAATCTTGTCCATCATCGTCTATAGCTAACACCTTCAGTCCATCATGATGGGTGACTCGAGTGAAAATATATAATTGTAGAATATTAGTCAATTAGGGATTTTTTTATATTTTAAGTAAGTTTGCAATATCATATTCATTTTCAGCGAATTATTCTTTTTTATTTTTAATCAATTAGTCAATTAGAATATCATATGCAATGATATTTTTACCTA